ATCCACTTGGATTTTACAGCGAGATAGCTAGGAGTTAACTACCTAGGTAAAAACACACCTTTTTTGCACTGATGACATAGCCTGAATGTCTAGAATTCTTCCCCTAAAGTTACCTGCAGAGACATTTTAATCTCTGAATAAGCTACACAAAGTTTATCAGCACAATGCAGTATCTCTAATGGGTTATAAAGCTATCCAGCACACTGAACAAAGCGTACAGGATATTAGGATGCCATGCCTAACTGCAGATGTAATCATAATACTATAAAATAACATTTGTGTTGGTATAACTGTGCCGTTATAGGAACAAACTTCACGATGAACTGCTTTTATCAGAACCATGAATGCATTCCATCTGGATAGCAATATCTCCAGAGTGTATGAGAGTCTCTGAAATAAATGAAAATAGGTAATATCATTAATATATGTCATTACAACCTGTCCATTTCTAAATTAATTTCAGCTGCTGTTCCTCTTCTTTATCTTATGAAAATCTCCACTTCTGTGGTTTTGATGATGCAAAGTATCAGTATGTCTGTCCTGCCAAGTTCAGCAATGGAAAAGGCATTTCGGGTCATTATAAAAACTAATTTCCCCATACTAATCTCCCCCTACTGTTACTCACACCTTCTTGTCAACTGTTTGAAATGGACCACCCTCATTACCACTACAAAAATGATTTTTTCCTCCCTTGTTGTTCTGTTAATTGAACTGTCTCGTTAGACTGACCCCCTACTCCCACCCACTTGCTAAGGCAACTCCCATCTTTTCATGCGCTATGTGTGTATATATAGCTGCTACTGGATTTTCCACTCCATGCATCTGATGAAGTGGGTTCTAGCCCACGAAAGCTGAGGCCCAAATACATGGGTTCGTCTCTCAGGTGCCACAAGGGCTCCCCGTTGTTTTTGCTGTGTCTCATAGTGACTTCTTCACTGAAGTGAAACCTTTTTTCATTTTAAAAACAAAACAGGCATGATTCAGATAGATTCCGGTCACGCACCCTGGGGCCTCAGTCCTGCCCTTTGACCTGGGACATGTAACCTAGTATGTTTCATTCCCTGACTTCAGTCACCCGTTAGCAATAACACAACTAGGATTGGGGTTAAAGTGAAATCTAGACTCCAAGTGAGCTGCATAACAACCCATTTTGGAGTCAGCATGCACATTATTTCTGTTCTGCTCAACATCACACTCAAACACAAACACACTTTCCCCCCTTGTTTGTCAAGGAAGGGATTTCCAGGGATTCAGTAGGAATCAAGGAACTCTGCACAACCCAATGTACCATGTGGAGAAAGCTACTGCAAGCTCTTCGGGATTTCCTGAAAGACTGGGGGCTAGATTCCCCATTGCTGTGAATAGTCATTTACATCTGAGTGAAAGCATTGCAAAATGAGTGTAAATTGCTCCTGAATCGGATGGTCGCATTTTATACTCAATTCACACTGGAAAAGTTGACTGCCACCAAGGCTCGTGTATATTCAGGACATCACTGGACATTGGCAATACCAGAGGGATGAGCTGGAGTGCAGATGAGAAGCGCAGTGAGGAAAGTAACGAATATTTTCCTCATGGATTGTACTTTCTAAATGGACAACCAACCTAATCCTCAATTACTAAGGGCTTGTCTACACTGGCACTTTACAGTGCTGCAACGCTCTCCCACAGGGGTGTGAAAAAACACACCCCGAGCGCTGCAAGTTTCAGTGCTGTAACGTGCCAGTGTAGACAGCGCACCAGTGCTGGGAGCCGCACTCCCAGTGCTGGTAGCTACGCCCCTCGTGGAGGCGGGTTTTTTTAGAATGCTGGGAGACCTCTCCCCCAGCACTGCTGCCGTGACTACCCAAGCCACAAGCCGCGGCAGCGCTTCACCGTTGCCAGCGAAGACGTGCCCTGAGGGACAATCTCCACCCATTGATATATTTTGCTTTCCACAACCAAACCAAACAAATCTCTGTACAACTTTTCATGAGTGATGCACCCGAGTATTCAGATTCTAATATCTAAACTGTATTGTGAAATCTGTTCACCTAAATTTGGGTTATTGCTGATTATGTACTCTGTGTGTCATATGACTTTTAAAAAACTAACTTTGTTTGTGTAGATAATCTAAGCACTATACCCAGATGTAGAGACACTCTTTTTCCAACCTATGTATTATATAATTTTTTTAACATTAGCTTTAATAAAATTTTTATTGGACCAACTTCTGTTGGTGAAAGAGAGAAGCTTTCGTGCCGCATAGAGCTCTCCCTCAGGTCTGGGAAAGGAACGCCCAGCACCACAGCAAAATGCAAGGTGGAACTGATTGTTTAGCATCAGTAGTTGGCACATACTGTAAGGCAGTGGTTTTCAAAGCCGGTCTGCCGCTTGTTCAGGAAAAGCCCCTTGCATGCCGGGCTGGTTTGTTTACCTGCCGCGTCTGCAGGTTCAGCCGATTGCGGCTCCCACTGGCCGCGGTTCGCTGCTCCAGGGCAATGGGGGCTGCGGGAAGCGGCGCAGGCCAAGGGATGTGCTGGCCGCCCTTCCCGCAGCCCCCATTGGCCTGGAGCGGCGAACCGTGGCCAGTGGGAGCCGCGATTGGCCGAACCTGCAGACACGGCAGTTAAACACACCGGTCCAGCCCACCAGGGGCTTTCCCTGAACAAGCGGCGGACCAGCTTTGAGAACCACTGCTGTAAGGGACCATTCAAGGTTAGTGGGTTACAGATTGTTGTAATACACCACCAAATCATGGATTGAACTGAGACTCTGGATCTATGGCTTATTATTGCAACAATCTGTAACCCTCTAACCCTCTCTTTTTGTCCTGTGACTGCAGAAGTATTAACTGCCCACTCTATCTTGAATAGTTCCTTACAATATGTGCTAACTGCTTGTGCTAAACAATCTGTTCTTCCTTGCATTTTGCTGTGAGGCAGGGAGTTCCTTTCCAGACAGGAAGAAGAGCTCTGTGTAGCTAGAAAGCTTGTCTCTCTCTCTCACCAGCAGAAGTTGGTCCAATAGATTATATTACCTCACCCACCTTGTCTCTTTCATATTCTGCAGCTGACACGGCTACAGCTATACTGCATACATCAGATAGAGGTTGTCAATTATACTTAAGTAGAATACATGATTCTATAGGGTGAGAAACTGTTATAAATTAATTTCTTCTGCAGACCAGATAGTGCATGAATCTGTTTTCTGGCCTTTTTTCTGCGCTGTTTTCCCTGCATGGGGAATTATGTCCTAATTTAGAGTAAACCACAGTAGGCCGAAAGAAAATAAAGTATTTTCCTCTGTATCTTTAAAAATGGTTAAATTCAAAGTCATACAATATGCCCTAAAATTAACTTGTTTTTAAAACTAACTTTTTTAACAGAAAAAGACATTACTTTCTAAAGGAACAGGGAGAAGTGACCCAATGCCGATCAGAAATGAGCTGTCTGATATTGCTCCCAATCCAATCAATAGGATTTTTCCCATCAGTCAGTGAGAACAGGATCAGGCCCTAGTGTTATACTTTCTCAGATTCTAATAAGCTTTGCATCACTAGGTTTTCTGAGGTAGGCCAACAAACAGAACTGCTCAAACTCCCTGACAAAGCTCCAAAGAGGCTGGAAACCCAAGAGAAACATTTTCACGAATTTGCGTCAATTTCATCAGTTTGTTTTGAAAAAAAAAAAATCAAATAAAAAAGACCCTCTAAAATGTTTTGTTTTGATGTTTTTGAAAAGAAATGTAATGAATTTTCATTTCAAAGTTTTCTTTAATTGTATATAAAATATTTTAAAACATTAAAAAACAAACTTTTTTGGATTTTTCAAAATTGCCAGAGGACTTAAAAATCTGTTATTTTCATAACATATTTACCCCACCTTCTCTCCCTCCTACCAGCTCAATTCCTCATTGTAACGGTTCCCACCGGTCCACCTCGCACAAAATAAAAATATTTTAAAATACCTTAGTGTGTAAACAGTTAAAGCAAAAGTATACATCTGTGAGTATATAGAGCAAACCCACAACAACATAACACATAACAAATCTAAGTAACTGTTTGACCTTCTTTTGTAGGTCCTGGTCCTCACCCTATTGTTTGTTCCTATCATTTGTATCTTGTCTAAATTTTAGGTCAGAAGCCCTTTGGAGAGGGACTAGGGGTATTTTTTTAAAGTGTTTAAGTGACTTAAGCACCTAAGTAATATAAGTTGTTTTTTTTAAATTCTACCTCAGGTCTTTTAAAACAATGTGTATCTAAATATATACATATATAAAGGATTTATGTGACTTTTGGGCACTGTAAAATAATTATTAATAAATTAATACTGACCAATCAAAGCATGGAAATACATAATGGGGTAATATTGCAGCAGAGCTATGTACATTTCTCAGAAATAACGTGTATTTTGTAATTAACTGGTGTGTGAAATCATATTTCCACAATGATTTGTTCAGTTAGAAATAGAAAAGAACCAAAGGTTGTGCTTTTTTTTTTAGCATAAATCCCACCTTTCATGCATGCACATAACTCAGAACAAATGGGAATTATTTGCAGACTTATACAGCAAAATAGACCCTCTGATCTGTAAAGTTAACTAAAAAACCTTAGACATCCAACAGAATCATAATGCGCTATCTATCACTTGAAATACCGTGAGTACTTATGCCCATGTTACAATACTCACTGTAAAATCAAGCATGTGCATTTACAAGAATTATATTAGAAGAGTAAAAACAACTCCCTTAAATTCAATGGACCAAATGCGAAGGTCCAACATCCTTACTAAGTGTTTACTCAAGCAAACTTCCATTGACTTTGAGGGCAGTTTGCCTGATCAAGGACTGAGTAAAAACTGGGCACAAACCCCAAGATTTAGCCTTGCATAGTTAAAAATAAAGCACATAACAAAGCAATAATCTGAACTGTTACAATATATTGCTGCAACTCAGCTGTTTGACTCTAGTAGGAACTCCTTCTTCAAGTGACTTATGTCCAAAAGATTTATATATCTTACCTGATTCCTCATCCACATCCGATAATCTGAAGCTGTGCAGTCTGACTGACCACAAATTTTCTGCAAGTGGTTCAATAGTAAACGTGCACACTGAATTGCAACACCTACTTCCTTCTTCATACTTTTGACTTTTTGACACATAGATCACAACAACTCAATAATATGTCCTAAAAGGATAAACATTGTTTCCTCCCCAGACATAAAATGAAAAATCCTCTTTCTAATCTAAATTTATTCATTACTTTATGGTGCATTGGGAGGCAAATATTCACGGTGTATGACAAATGCTTGATTCATTGTGAATATCTTTCCCCGTTGTGGATTTTGTAATACCGAGATTCTTCCATTCTTTTTTATCTTGTATGAAACCTGTAAACTCTGAATAGGTTTTTAGTGTACTGGGTGTAGTCAAGTCAGAAAAGGAACCACATATTTCTGCTTTTGAAATATCTTTCTGAGTTCAGATATGTTTCTATCATTCTCCTAAACTGGCCTTTTTGTGCAGTGAAAAACTCCATGAAAAATCTGCAAAGTTGCTACCCTCTTTTCCTTCAAATCCTTCCTCAAGACTCATTTTTACGACAGCACATACAAAGCAATAGCAACTGACAACAACTAGGGAAGTGGAGCGCTAAGTATTGTGCTTGTTATATGTAGAGCTGGTTGGAGAACGGAATGTCTATTCTTCAAAATATGCCAAGATTTTGATTTTTTTTCATTCAAATCAGAACAAAACCAAAACATTTCATTTTTTTCTACAAAACAGAATGTTCTAACAAGTGGCTTTGTTTCAATCAGAATATTTTGTTTTGATAAAACTGATTTTGTTCTAATTTTTACTTTATAATATATATATTTTTCAAATGACCAAAATGTCATTTCAAAATGAAAACTCGAAATCTGCTGCGCCAATAACCTCAAAGTGGGACATCTGGCTTTGATTTTTTAAAAACAAAACTTTGCCAAAATTGACACATACCCTCAGAAAATTTTGATTTCAATCAAACAACATTTTCTCCTGGAAAAACGTTCCAGTGGAATATTTCTAACTAGCTCTAATTATGACACTGGTTTGCTTCACTGTTTTCTCTTAACGGATGGGGCAACGTGTGCTCCATTTGTGTGACACACAGATCTGGGCATTGTTGTGGGGTACAATTCCTCCAGGAGCTACTGCAGAGGCACTGGAGCCATCACTCTGTCCCTAATGCAGGACAGTGCCCATAAATCATAATCTTGCCCTAATGATGCCATCCTTTTATGAGATAAGGGGTTTCTTTTATGTCCGTGGCTAAAAATGTCCCATACCCCCATGGTTGTGTGGCAGTCTGTGTACAAGTTGTCTGCTGCCCTCTGATTGTCTGCATTGTGTCTTGGTGGTTAGCACACTTGATTTAACTCAGGAGATCTGGGTTCTAATCCCACTTTAATCACTGGCCTGCTGGGAGACCTTAGATCTGTCATTTCATCTCCCGTGCCTAAGTTCCCCCATCTGTAAAATGAGACTAATGATACTGACTTCCTTGGTAGAGCATTTTGAGATCTACTGATGAAAAAGTGCTATATGAGAGCTAGGTATTACTAGTAGGAGTTAGGCACCTTTATTTGTACCTTTGGAAATCTCCTCTTTAGAGTGTATGTATATGCTTTGTAATGTGTTTTTGAATCCTCTATAATGAAAGGATCGGCATAAATGTCAAATATTTTAATTTTGTCTGAAACTCATTTCACATTGGTCTGTTTTGTGTTTCCTATATGCTCTTTACCTTTCCACAAACCAGCCTAAATAATCTTACTGACAACAAGGGCTGGTAAAGAACCTGTCCAGACTCAAACGGAGCTAGGGGATACAATTGGGGAAGAAATTCAATCTCATTTAAACCAGTCATGTTCAAGTCTGCCATACATTGTAAGGTGCAATCAGCTGACATGGTAAACAAACCACCACACTTTAATACATCTGTCCCAAAAGATCCCTGAACTCTACAACCTCAAACTGAGCATGCAAGAATGAACTCATGTTCCACTTCAGATCTCCAAACTGTGTAACGTTTCTAGATTCACTCACCCCTCTTACTGCCAGCACATAAATCTCTTCTTTTTCTAGATGCTGTTACTGTAAAAGTCAGTAGTATTGATTGTCAAAGAATAGTAATTCCAATAGTCATGAGAAAGTTGATGGAAGCTATAGATAGCCTATAACATTTTCACCAACTCCTACACAGCAGGGGTTGGTCTGAAGAGAGATTGGTATCCCCATGAGCACTGTGCCATAATGTGTTATCTTCTTTTTGGTGATTTGAATATCTTTATAGGCACTTCTATGCCTTTCTTTATGATAACACATATCACAATCATTAATGGATTTTATCTTCACAACTCCCCTGTTAAGTAGGAAAGTATTTTCTCTGTTGAACAGATGATCGGAGGCACTGGGAGATTGTGTGATTTGCCCAAGGTCAGACAGGAAGTCTGCATGAACAAGAGATTATCTGCATGTGTGAATTTATATATACCACATGTTATTCAGATTGCTTGACATTTCCCATTATGACATGCTGTTTTCTGTAGGGTATAACTTTGCCAAATTTTAACCAATTGGACTGCAGTTTTCCATATTGGGTGTCTGCCTCAGGCTGATTATTTTATTTGGGTTTGTAGTGTGTGTGTTTTAATTTCAGTCAAAACAATTCAGCAATTTCTGAGAATCAGGCTAGGGGAAAATACACTGTTTTCCTCATGTTAAATTCTCTCTGGCAACTTATTCTTTGAGAACTCTAGCACCCCCATGCTCTGGAGTACGGACTTGAAATTTGGCCAGGGGGCGGCCTTTGTGTCAGGGATGTGCCTTTTGCCTTCTGTCATAGAGGGTAGAAACCCCACACAGCAGAGGAAGGGATTAAGCAGCTGCTCTGGGCCTGTGCCTCTCCACCCCACCACAAGTGCTGGGCATGCACAAGCTGGAGGAGAAGCCTGAAGGGGGAGCAGAGCAGTTCACTCCTGGTTCTGCAGCAGGAAACAGAATCCTTGAGAACCCCAGCTCAAGCTAAAAGCTCTGGGGACTTCCCAGCTCCCTACGACAGAGCTGGGAGCCTGAAAACTCAAGGAGCCACATCTGAAGCAGGAGGCCTCAGAGCTTGGGCTGCCAGGTTTCAAAACGAAACATTTCTATTATTTCTAACCCCTCCCCCCTTTTTTTCCCCAGATTTTTCCCTTCCTTGGAAGTTTTGATAATTCTATTTTTGTTTTGAAACTTTTTTTTTCCCTCCCAGAATTTTGGAATTTGTTGTGGAAGAAAATTTTGGCTTTTGACTGGCTCTAAGGATAACCTTTTAAGACTATTGTATGGTGTGGTGCTAGAGTTATATTGATATGGGTTAAAGGTTGTAGAAGAAGTGGGTTTCAGGAGGGATTTCAATGAAGTGAGGGGTGACATGGGAAGCTAATATTTACCCATTTCTCTGTTTGGTTAAGCCAGAGGGTTTGCCTGTATTAGAAAAATTGTAACAAACTAACTAAATCGATTTAGTTAAACTGATAGAATCCTCTAATGTAGATGCACTTAAACCAGTTTAAACCTGGCTTAAATCAATTTGGTTAAATTGGTAATTTACCGATACAAGCTACACTGGTTTAAGTTGGTTGAAGTACATGTTTAGCTTTGCTTAAGTGTGTCTGTATTAGGGGCTTGCATTGCTGGCCGACAGTTAACCTAGTGCATTTTTAAAAAAGTAGACCATGCCAGAGAAACCCCAGAAAAACATCAAAAGAGAGACGGTTTGTCTAACTTCCCCTCCACCCCATTTTCATTATTCATCTTTGCAGGAAGTTCTGTTCCAGCAATTGCTAATTTTAACTTCACGGAAGAGCTACAGAAGTTGTTTGTTTCTTAGCCTACCTATATACCACACACCTTTGCGTAGAGTGACCAAGTGTCAAAATAGCAGATTAAACTGAGCTATGCTGATAGCGATTCCTCCTGTAAAAGCGGCTAAGAGATGGCATTTGTATTCAAGCAAAGATCAAGTACTTCCTGCTGTCTTGTAAAAACAGCATTTTAATAACAAAGAACAGGATTTAGTGATGTGCAGGGAGAGGTCAGAGCATTATAGATTCATAGTTGAAGGCCAGAAGGAACCTTTATGATCTAGCCTGACCTCTAGTATAACGTAGCCCATAGAATTTCATGCAGTAATTTCTGCTTTGAGCTGTAACTTCTGGATGAGCTACAGCACATCTTTTAGAAAGATATTAGTAATGGCTCTTCTCTCTCTATTGACTTCAGCATGGAGTTTCTGTAGAACTGGCTAGGAAAGGTTCCATGCAGCAGTCAGCTTGCGGAAGAACAGGCCAATCAGATGCAAAAGCCACTTTACTTTGCCCATCACACTTGTTAATTTGAACAGCAGTAAATACCACAACATGTCTGCTATGCAGAACCCAGTTAATCTCTCTAAGAAGCAGAACTAGTTACAATGACATTCGTTCAAATGATAGATGATTTATAGATAAATGATAGATATATGCAGCTAGCAACAAATGAATCTGACTCATTAGATATTATTTTTATTATGGTAGCATCTAGGAACCCTAGTCATGGACCAGGACCCAGTTGTGGTAGGCACTATACAAACACTGAACAAAAAAGACAGCCACTGTCCTCAAGAATTTATAATCTGACTATAAAACAAGAGACAACAGATGGATACAGACAGATGGGGGAGGACAAGGAAACAATGAGACCATATTGGTCAGGTGGTGGTCTCAGCACACAAGCAGCCTATCAGTTGCCAAGTTTTTGTATAGGCAAATCCTACAATGAGCACCCCATGGGTGCAGAAGCCCCTCTCCCCCACAGAGTTCATGTTATCACTGGGGTCTCACTGTGTCACTTCTTGTGAAAGTGTGATCTGTTTCTCTGTTTATGATTTTATTCTTTGTGCTCAGTTCCATTCTGTTTTCTGTTAGTAAGTACAGTACTTAGAGGATGCTTTTCATGAAAATTACTCCATGTCATTGGTTGTTGCACATGCTTCAGA